ATTTTAAAAACTTCTGTCACAATCTGCTAAAAAACTAATTTTAATCACCACCAAACACCTTTATAGTTTGTAAAAATATATATAAAAATACAAAATAGTAAGTTATTATTGAAATAATTGAATTATAATATAACTATAATCGTTCAAAAATGATTATCACTTGATGTGATATTTAATATATTATAGATTAGTGTCGCACTTTGAATTTTGATAGGTGCAAATCTGGTCGAACAATTGTTCGATTTGTAAATTTGTTTTAGTCCTTGATTTAGTTTATTTTTAGTATAATATTCTTTGAATCGAATAATTTTATACATAGAATCATAACTTCTTCGTTTTTTTACTTTTATTCACATATTCTTTACAAAAATTATTTTTCATAAAATCACTTCTCAAAGTCAAAATTAATTAATGACTCAATGTGATCGAGTCAATATGTTATTACGAACCCAAGATTATTTGACATTTCATACCCGACCAGTATGCTTGGTGAATGGATTCGTGCGCTATAGTAAAATAATAAATTTTTTTTTTTTTTTTTTTGGCTTTTCAAGCAAAACTCGAGTTTATTGTTCAAATAATTATACAATTCAATAAAATAGAGGTTCTAATGTTTGGGTCAACCATAGTTTTTGTTGATTCTATTTCAAATTTTCAATTGGGGACAATTAAAAAGGCCGACGCGGTTTGAAGTCAATTATTGAAAAATCTATAGAGGGGGTGACGTAAAACAAATAGGAGGATTTTGGGCGGCTGCGCTATATTTTTATTTGAAAGGGGGTGGAAATGAAAAGTCAATTTACAATTCAATGTGGAAAGCCAATAGAGCCTTCTATTATGATGGTCAAAGTTTGACAAATAAGGGCATTTTTGGGATTTCATTTTTTTAAAACCAAATTTGATCGGTTTTAAATGGCACGATTTATGAGAAGTTGAGAAAACTGATACTTGCTAGTTTATTTAAGCACTGATTTTAAATGATTTAAAAATCACCAAAAATCAACGTAGTGTAATTTTAACAATTTATCTCAATCCATAAAATCGGTAGATTTTGACCATTTTTCATATTGTCTTCTAACTCTGTTATTTATTAAATAACTATTTTCAACAAATATATTTTGTTCAAAACTAACTTTTAAATAAA